TGTTAACTGATAATACATGGAAGGGATTATAATCAGTGTAATGAAACAAGGTATATGATTTGTTGAATGTAAAACTGATGATATGCCCTGTAAACTTTCACTCAATCCACAATAAAAACCTTAAATTAAAACAAACAAACAAAAAAAACCCCGGAGATGGTTAGATTTGTTTTCTAATGGACTGCCCAGCTCTGACATTTTAGGGTCTGGTAGCATTGTGGTTATGGATCAGGCTGTGAACCGCAAGGTCAGCAGTTTGATACTACCAGGTGTTCTGCGGGAGAAAGATGAGGCTTTCTGCTCCCGTAATGATTTACAGCCTAGGAAACCCTGTACAGGGTTGCTATGAGTCGGAAACCGACTCCACGGCATATAACCACCACCAGGTAAAGAGAGTCCTAGTGTGGCACTGTGAATTAATGCACTGGACTGCAAGGTCCTTTTGAACTGCAAGGTTGGTGGTTCAAATTTACCAGCCGCTCCTTGGAAGCCCTATACAGGGTCACTAATTGGAACCGACTTGATGGCATTTAACAACAACAAAGGTAAAGGGAGTAGCCTTGGTGGAACAATGGGTTAAGTGTTGGGCTGCTAACAAGTCCTTCCATGAGAGATAGAGATAGATGTAGTCTACTTCCATACAGATTTATAGCCTTAGAAACCCTACTATGACTCTTCCTTTCCATCATCATTCCTAATCCAGGAGTGAGGAGAATGGGTACATTCTCAGAGCCCCTGCACTCCCCTGGAGTACTTAGGAAATACTCCCTCACCCCTCAGCTCCCGTCTACTACCCCACCCTCCCCTCTGTGCACACACATACCATGGGGAGAAGTGGCAAGAAGAAAGACAATTTAATAGAATTAGAAATTTAAGACCAGGAAATTCTCTAGACAAGCCCAGTTTATTATTTTTATTATATAAATAAGGACTGATAGCCTCATTTATGAAGGGCCTATGATATGGACTTCTGGTGTGGTGCTGTGGATCAACATTAGATTGTAAACCACAAGGTCAGCAGTTCAAATCTACCAGTTACTCCTTGGAAACTATACAAGGTCACTATGAGTTGGAACCGACTTGATGATACTTAACAATAGCAACAACAATGATATGCCAAGGTCCCTGGGTGTCACAAATGGTTTGTATTTGACTATTAACCTAAAGGAGTTCTGGTGTGGCACTGTAGGATAAGCACTGGACTGCTGATCAGTGGCTCAAACCCACTAGCCCCTCCTCAGAAACCCTATATGGAGTCACTATGAGTTAGAAATGACTCTACGGCACTTAACATCAACAACAACAAGGTTGGTGGTTCAATACCAAGTGGCATTGCGGAAGAAAAGCCTGGCGATCTGCTTCCATGATGATTCCAACTAAGAATGGAGCAGTTCTACTCTGTAACACGTGGAGGTTACCATGAGAAATACAGAGACAAAGAGGGCAGCTGGAAGAAGGCCAAAAGAAACCAAGATGGAGCAGACCACCAACTTGGGGATATGATGGGGGCAATAGAAGGTGGGCAGGGCTTACCATACAACTTCTCCCCTCCAGTCACCTCCCGGCTGCCCCTCGCCATTCCACCCATTGGCCACTCTTGTTGCTGGCCAGGGGCCAGAACCTTTCTGACCATTGAACTTTGCCTAGCTCAGATAGATAAACTTGTCTTTGACTCCCCGCAGTAAAAGGCTCTGGGATGATGACAGCTCTGACTTTTACCTTGAATCCCTAATTTGTTCTAATGCTCCCCCACTTAGGCTTGGTCAGCCCTTCTCAGGCTGGGTTCCCTTCTCCAGCAACAACTTTGCCCTGACCTCTACTCTCCACAACCCAGCAGGTGGTGGTGGTGGTGGAGTTAAAACCAAGCACAGTTGGTTCAGGTCTTTGTCTAGACATGAAACAGTCTAGAGACGAGGTAGAATTGCTTTTTTTTCCTAATACCTTCACCTGACCAATCCCAGTCTTGTTCCAAATGGGATATAAACTTGGAGGTAACTTATCCAAATTTCTTACAGTGTTTCTTTTCCCACCCTGACACACACACATACACCTCCTTCCTCCAAATTCCTCATTCTATCCCTAAGAACTGGAGCCCCATCTTGTTCTAACCTCCCCTTGCCCTCCCACCTCTATGAGAGAGTCGTCCCAGGAAAACATACAATAAGGTCTAGTTTCAGTGAAGTCTCCAGGAACCTAGGGTACAGAAAGGTGGCTTAAGGTTGGGGGAATGGTAGAAAGGCTCTGTTACGCAGAAGCCAGAGTCCTCCAGCTATCTTGAGAGTTTCTTGATGAAGGAGAATTTGGTGGAAAACTCTGGAGCCTGGGGCTTTGTGTGGCTGCCGTGCTCTCCATCTGGAGGCTCTTCTAGATGTGTCCAGGTCTCCTCTTCCTTGTTGAAGTTGTGTCACATTTTGCTGTGGAGAGACAGTAGAGGGGCAAGGCAACTTGGTCCTTGATCAGGGTTTGGTAGTTCCTCACGAGGTCTTGGCTCAGGGGCGCACTGGGCAGCAAGGCCAACTTTAGCTTCTTCTCTTGGTAATGTGGCAGAGGGTTGGGGCAGGGCCAGCTCTTGGCTAAGTTATTGGGAAGTGGGTTGGGCAGGAGCTGGAGGCCACAGGGTTCAAACCTTCCACCAGCTGATATGTGTCGATACCTGTTGGGGAAAGAGGTGTAGAAAGAATAGAGAGGTCAAGGCACCTCTCTGTTGGGAAGGGAGAAGAGGGGAAGGCGTGACACTGTTTTCCACAAGGTAGTGAACACTTAGGCTGTAGGGATCCCTTCACTCTCCCTCCCTAACTGAATATTGATTTGTGCCAAACAAGTACATCAAGTAGATGGCCTGTACTCTATGAGAGTGTGTTTTAGCTTTAGGCTGGTCAAACAATGTTAAGATAGTAAATCTTCCATTCTTTTGGCACATAATATCCCTACCCTCAACTTATCCAGATCCTAATCATCCTTGAAAGCCCACGTTCTCCATTAATGTAGTATCAATGGGAAAAACACGGAGCTCAGGGCAAGCGTTCATTCTTGTAGTGTGTAAATGTCATTGGCTAAAAGTCACCGATGATATCCAAGAGCCCTTCAAGTTCTGACCAGCTGTGATTATTCTACACTTTCTCTGATGATTTCTTCTTCTCTATAAACAAAAGCAGAACAAACCAGTTGCCTCTTGAGTCGGTTCCTACTCATGATGATCCCATGAAAGCAGAGTTGAACTATTCTATAGGGCTTTCAGGATTCCTAGTGTGGCGCTATAGGATCGGCACTGGACTGCTAACCACGAGGTCAGCAGTTCAAACCCACCAGCTACTCCTCGGAAACCCTACACAGGATTGCTGAGTCTGAACTGACTCAGCGGCACTTAACAATAACAATGTAGGCCTTTCAAGGCTGTGACTTTCTGGAAGTAGATTAGCAGGCCTTTGTTTCAAGTCACTTCTGTTTGGGTTCAGCAACTTTTATGGTCAGTAGCTGAGCACTTTAGCTGTTTGTACCACTGAGGCCTATAGATTGTTGTTGTTGTTAAATGCTGTCGAGTCGGAGCCGACTCATAGCGACCCTATATAGGGTTTCTGAGGCATGGCTGCTAAGCTTGAATCGATGACTTTGCTGTTCAAACCGACCTTGTGGTCCAGCGCGTTATTCTGCAGCACCACACCAGGACTTCAGTGGAGTCTCCAGGAACCTGGGGTACAGAGAGGTGGCTTAAGGTTGGGGAAATGGTAGAAAGGCTCTGGTATGCAAAGCCTATAGATTGATCAGTAGGAAATAATTCAGTAGTACAAATTTCTTGTGTTTCAACATGTTTTGCACCAGGTTCAGCAGATCTTGCTGCTTGCTGCCATTGGTCACAGAGCTGTTTAGCCCTGATTACACATTAAAATCATCGCAAGAAGCTTTGTAAAAGTACTCATGCCCATGTTGCTCTTCTGAAACCCAAACCAAACCCACTGCAGTTGATTTCATTCCAACTCATAGTGCACCCTGTAGGACAGAGTAGAACTGCCCTGTAGGGTTTCACAGGTTGTACAATAAGTACTGGACTGTGAACCACAAGGTCTGTGGTTTGAGCCCACAAGCCGCTCTGCAAGCGAAAGATAAGGCTTTCTGTTCCCATAAAGATTTAAGGCCTTGAAAACCCTATACAGGGTCACTATGAGTTGGAACTGACTCCACAGCATTTAACAATGACAACTATCTTCAAGGAAGCAGACTGTCACATCTTTCTCTCATGGAGCACCTGATGAGTTCAAATAGCAGAGCTAGCACATGTAAGCACTCAATCATCTTCATAGAAAAAACAATGGAGAAAAGTCAAGGTCTTCTCAGAACCACCAACAATTACCACCTTGATTTCCTTATTTAAGATGAAAAATTCTCCACAGTCCCTTTCTGCCAACCTTCAAGTTTCTGTTAATGCCCTTGGGACTGGAATTGGAGTCCTTCTAACCTTAATCTCCTCCCCATTTCCTGCTACACTTACCCTTTGCCTAGACTGGACTGAGTATGGAAATAACTCTGAGTTCCCACGATGGCAGGGAGGGGAGAGGCAGTGGGGTTCTCAGACCTTTCCCATGCCTGCCTCTGCTCCAACCAATCCATCCTGCCTGGAGTGCTCCTGCCCATCTTCCCACCTTTCTGAAGCCTTTCTCCCTTGCCAGGATTCATCTCCATTTTCCCATGAAGCCTCCAGTCACAGAAATCCCTCCTCCCTCTTCTGAACTTGGGTGATAATCCCTCATTTTTTTGGGTTTTGCTTTTATATATATACGTATTCATGAATAAATTTTATCCTCAGTCAGCAAGGTAGGCATTTATCATCCCTATGTTATCAATGATGAAATTGAGGTTAGAAAAACTATGCAACTTGCCAAAGTGTCCCAGCCTGGGCTTGATTCCAGACCTTTTGACTACAGCTCCTTCCTTTAATAAGGAGCTCTGGTACTGACTTCCTTATAGTACCCTCTAAGGAGTCCTGGTGTGGCGCTGTGGGCTAATATGTCAGACTGCAAAGTTGTTTGAACTGCAAGGTTGGTGGTTCAAGCTCACCAGCTGCTCCTTGGAAACCCTATACAGGATCGCTATGGGTCGGAACCAACTCAATGGCACTTAACAACAAAGAGCTTTGGTGGTGCTGTAGGATAAACACTGCACTACTAACCTCAAAGTCAGTAGTTCACACCCAGCAGTGAATCTGAGGGAGAAAGATGAGGCTTTCTGCTCTCATAAAGGTTTACAGCTTTGGAGACCCCAGAAAGGGTCACTCTGAGTTGGAATCCACTTGATGGTAGTGGTTTGATTTGATGGCACTTTGGGCACTTAGTATGTGTGGCTTTGTATTGATAGTTGTCTTTCCACACATGTCTGGATCGGCCTTTGAGGGCACGGCACAGAGTGAAACCTATTTCTCTGAATCACCAGAGTCTAACCAGTGTAAGCCCATTTTTTAGTTAATTTATTTAGCAACTCCACTTGCTGGCCTTCCTTTGTCTCCACCCCTTCTCTCCATTTATGCTCAGAAAAGAGAATCTGGTTCTTAGATAACCAGAGGTGGGCAGATTAGGGTCGCATGTTAGCCATCAGAAACAGGAGTCAATGAGAGGAAGAGGTCACCTGAACATTGGTTTGGTGGGGTGAACTCCCTGAGGAAGAGTCTTACTTCTTGAAGCTCCTGGGGGGCAGGATGTTGCCATGGATATCCAGTGGAGGTACTCTTGCTTCACTCCTCAGCTTGAGTTTCTCTACTTCCTTCAGCTCCTTCACAGTCTTGAGGATCACCTGATTCTTCCTGTTCGTGTCCGCGAAGATGGGAGTACAGCAGATGAAGGTCAGGAAGCTGCTCCTACCCATCCGGGAGGGAGGGGGGATGGGGGGCTTGGCTGGCGGCTGGTGATGGGCGTTGGAGTTGGTCAGCCAGCGCCAGACATTGCTATCATAGGGCACGTCAGGCCGAGTGGGGAAGATGGCAGGCAAGCGTCCCACATCAAGCCATGTGTGGAAGCCCCAGGTGTGCTGGATTGCATCTTCTGCCGGGTAGATTAGGCGGCGACGCACCTTGGACTTTATTTCCGTGCAGGGTGGTGGCTTCAGGGCCAGCTGGTGATAGGCTTGCCGAGTGAAACCAGGCAACTCCCAGGACTCATTGGGGAGAAAGAATTCATGCGGAGCCAACATTTGGAAGGACAGGGGTGACTCATTGGCTTGGACCATCTAGGGAGAGACAAGAGGGGACCTGGGGATGATTATGTGTGTGAAAGGGAAGGGAGGCGGGCACTCTATGTCACCTTCCCAGGCACAGCCAGAGAGAAATCAAGCGGCCAGCCTCCCCCTTAGATCCAGGACTCGCAAATACTGTTGTCTTGAAAGGAACCATTTTGCACACCTGCCCTACTCTATTAGAAGTTATGACTATTCTATTATTATTCTCATGGGTTTCTTACCTTTTGTTCTCTTTCCATTTCCTGTGTTTTAGCTTTGATGTCCCTCCCACCCCCTTTCATTAATTTAAGGAGCTCAGGTGGCACTGTAGGATAAGCACTGTACTGTAGGATAACTCACCAGCCGCTCCATGGGAGAAAGAGGAGGCTTTCTGCTCCCATAAAGATTTACAGCCTCAGAAACTCTATATAGGATTGTTATGAGGCAGAATCAACTAACTCAGTGACAGTGGAGTGAGTTTCTCAACTTAAGGATCCCTTGTGCTGCTGTGGGTTAAGCACTGGACTGCTAACCACAGGTCGGTGGTTCAAATCCACCAGTCACTCCATGGGAGAAAGACAAGGCTGTCTGCTCCTGTAAAGATTTACCATCTTGGAAACCCTATGGAGCAGATCTACTCTGTCCTGTGGGGTCATTGTGACACAGAATCAACTTGATGGCACTGGATTTTTAATGACTAAGTGCTGGATTACTAATTGAATCTTGGAATCCTCAGCAGAAAGGCCACAGTTTTGCAAAACTTTATGGAGCACAGTTCCGCTCTGCACACACTGGGTCGTCATGAGTCGGAGACAACTTCACAATTACTAGTTTAGTTTGTTTTCCTCAACTTCCACTTTCCCATTCTTCACTTTCACCCATGACCTCTGTTCTGGTGCTCCCATTAGGGCCCTATTGTTGTTGTTAAGTGCCATTGAGTTGGTTCCAACCCACAGTGACCCTGTATAGGGTTTCTGAGGATTGGCTGGTGACCTTGAACCACCGACCTTGTGGTTCATAACCGACTTGCAGTCCAGCGCATGAACCCAGAGCGCCACACCAGGATTTCCCGAGATTCTCAGAAACTCAGCGTGGGGAATAACGCACACCAAGCTCTATGTAGAAGCCCATCTCCACTTGTTTCTGGTCCTGGCAACACTCCAGAAAAGTTCTCCAAAGAACAGGACCCAAGTGCTTTTCTGTCCCTAACTCCCCTTGTTACTTGTTTCTCCATCATTGGTGCTTTCCCTTCAGTCTCTTTAATATACTAGGAAGTCATCAACATGCCTAGGATCTCAGTTCTTTCCTGTCCCTGTGCCTCCTCCCTGCAAAGAAAGAAACACTAGCAAAACTTCTCCCCATCTCACCTACCAACACATTTAGTTACTGCACATTTTAAAGATGCAAGAAATAAGGCACGATGAGAGTAACTCATCTAGTGTGCTGAGTGAGCGATAGAGCTCTGTGATCGAACTTGAATCACTGCTGAGTGACAGGCTTGGCACAGCACTTGGTCCATGCTGCTTCTCAAGAAAATGTCTCCTTAAAAAATGCCTCTTCCCTTCCTCCTACCCCTAGGGCTTTGCTGATTCCAGAAAAGCCACCTAATTTTGGCTTCAGTCCCCGAAATTATTTCTACAGGACCACCCTGATGGGTCTGGGGATTTGTGGTAACAACCAGTCATCTCCTCTTCTTTCCCCTGAGTTTCCTGTTCAGCTTCGGTGGACTAAGAGGGTAAAACTATGGTTTACAGGCTAGGAGTTCTGCTGTCCAGGTGGCCCATCACACCCTAGTCCCTCAGGGTACAAATACGTAAGCTGCTGAGGTGGTCCCGCCCCCTACCTGCAGGAAAGGTTTTCTGAGGTGGGATGGGCTGCATTGCCTTCTGGGGGATCTTTGTGGGCTGCTGGCCATTCTTCTGTCTCAAGAGCCAGGAGGGGCAGCTTTGTGGGGAAACCCTTTCTGGCTCCATTGTTTGCTGCTGGAGTTGCTATGGAGATATCTCCTGTGTGGTGAGGGAGGAGGCTCTCCAGTCCCCTGGGTCCCTAGCTGTTTTTCAGGTAAGATAAGTAGAGGTTAGGACTCTCTGGTTTGGCTGCCAAAGGTGGTAACGGGAGCTGCTTTGGGGAGGGGGAAAGCTGGCTGGCTTTCTGTAAGTAGGCCTAGTGTTTCCAGGACCAGCCCTTGTCTAGGCTGTCAAGTCCATTAACTGCCGTCCAATCCACAGTGACCCTGTATATAGAGCTTTCAAGGTGTGGCTGGTGAGCTTGAACCACCGACCTTGCAGTCCAGTGCATTAATCCACAGTGCTACACCAAGACTCTTTTACCTTACTGGGAGTCCCAAAAGACCTAAATTACCCAGCAGGTCCACAGGTCCCAGTGAACAGTCATGGATATAGGGAAAAAGCACTGGCCATGCCAGGTAAACATCAGGAAATTTTGTAATTTGTTACAAAGAGCATGTGTCTATACAGGGTGCGGAAGGGTGATCCATAGTAAAGCTCTTTGCACTCAATCCATCGGGTGTTTCTTCAGGTCAGCTCAGGCCTCGCTTCTTCTCCTTTACCGCCATCATCTTTCCAACCCCTGCATTTGCCTTAGGGATCAAACACCAGTACATCACAGCGACCAACATTTCCACTCTGGATTTTATTTGAGAAGGTAGTTACAGTAGTGTTGTTAAGCTGGCTCGCATGCATGAAGTCAGCTGGGGACTAGGGTGGCTCTTTGCAAAGCTGAGGTGCAAGCTAAGGAAGCCAGGCAGGTCAGGGGCCCTTCTAGCATTCTTAAGGCTCTGGCTTCTTTCTTGACCATGGTAGTCTCCCCGGCATGACTAGGGACACTATCAAAGGAGCATCTGATGAAGCACACACATACATGCTTTGCTTCAGAAGCATCCATCGCCCTTCCCAAATCCAACTCTTGACTGAATACAAAAAACTGCTACCAGGATTTCCTCTTGCAGGAATGCTGACTTGGAAACATGGGGTGGAGGGACAGGAAGAGGGACATGGGTTGAACATGTCCGGGTCTGGGTATCTCCAGTAAGGAACCCTTGAGCTAGGTACCTTGGGCCTAGAAGAAACCTTGCACTGCAGGTCCTTCCCATCTCTAGGAACTCAAAGCAAGGAACAGAAGCAAACTGAGCCTCCTTGCCCTCCTATCTGCCTTCCCAGGTAATGATCTAAGGAAATAAGCTTACATTTATAATTAGAGGATAATTTGGAGAATATACACTATTTACAAGCCTGCTGGGTACAGAATGGAAAGTTTGGGGGAGTTCCTCGTCCCTTTCACCCTTATTTTTGCTGTATGCACCCTTCGGCTCTCAGTAGGGCAGTAGAAGAACCAGGTTTACCTGGGGAGCTGAAGGTGGCAGATAAACCGGTTACTGGTACTGAGGTCCTGGTGGTGACTAAGGTATGACCTGCTGCCTGGGCATCACCAGGAAAGATGGCCCTAAGGGGCACAGATGATGGCTGCCTGCTGTTTTCCTTCAGAGGGCTTGGGGTACACTGAACCTGGACTGCTTGGTCATGTGAGTGGGCAGCTTATGAACAAGGACTGGGCCAGGTCTCTACCGCAGCTCAGGAATGAACTGGGACCAGCTGACATTATCGGGCCCCAACGGGTCTTCCTCCAGGCCAGGGAAGCTGATATCCAGCAGGACCTTGCTGAGGCTATCATTCATTGTGTCCAGAACCAGACCTTCGGCCAGAGAGTGATTGGCTGAAAGGTTGAGAGGCTGCAGCTCAGAGGAACCTGGCTTGGGGGCTTCCATATCTGAGGGGGCACAGCTGCTGAAGGGGCCAGAGGTGAGGTCAAAGGGCTCTGAATTAAGGAACTCTCGGGGTGAGTCAAAGAGGGGAACACTTTTCAGTGGGGTGGTGCTGAGATCCATCAGCCCCAGGGAGTCAGGTGGGGGACCAAAGGCACCCTGGGGGGTTCGGACTGGGCTGAAATCTAGCCCCCCGTCTTTGGCTGGGGGTGTGAGCCTCCAGGACTCAGGGGTCAAGGGGAGAACAGATTTGCTTGGGGTGGAGGAGATGGGTAGCATCTCCTTAACCGGTGTCTTAAAGGGTCCTCCTTCCTCCTGGGAGTAGGCTAGTTGGGGGGCTGGCTCGGGGGGCTCTGCTAGGAAAGGGAGTTCTTCGGCTCGGCGAGAAGTGCTGGGGGCCTCTGAGAAGAGCAGCTCGGGCTCATCCACACAGGGAGGCAGTAGGTGCTGTTTCCTTCGGGACCGGCTCTTCTCCCTCCTCTCCCTCCGTTTAATCACCAGCATTTCAGACACACACCGGGCTGGGGACTTGAGTCCACTAGAGGGCTTCTTGGGCCTTGGAGTAGGAGAGCAGGATGAATCCTCCCAGGAGTGAGGCGAGTCCTCTTTGAAAGGTGGGGAGGGCCACTCTTCCAAGGGAGGGCTCTCCACTTTGATGCACCGCGCTAAGTATGGTGTCTCCTCCCTGGTTTGGATTTCTTCTTCCTTAATGGACTGAACTGAAAGCAAAGGGGACAGACCTTCTCCAGGCAGGAGTTTCTCCTCTTTCACCGATCCTGCAGTAGGAAGAGGGGCTATCCCTTCATCTGCTAGCAGGACCTGAAAGGCAAGGGGAGGAAGGTGAAAGGGAGCCCTGGAGGCCTGGTGAGTCAACCTACTGTCACCAGGCAAACCACAAAACCAGGACTGGTAACACTGCTGCAGACCCTCTTTTTTTTTTTATCTTTTTCAATTAAAAGAAAACTATTGAATATGAGCATTTATTATATGATGAATGTGGTAATTCTATCTCAGGGATAAAAATACGGAGTATTTAATAGGACGCTGGTATAATTCTTACGTATCTGAGAGAAAATTAAACTGGGGGCCTATCTTATACCAGGCACAGAGACTTGGATATAAGAATGGAAATCATACATATCCTGCAAGAGAATCTAGAGGCTACATGTACAATTGGAGGGTGGGGGTGACCTTCTTAACCAAGACTGGAAACCCAGAGCTGTGAAAGAGA